TGTCAGCACCAGGCCCACTGGGCTCTTAATCTGGCCCTGGTTGTGCCTATAAAATATTAAAAAGAGACCTTTCTGCCCTTTAAAAAAAACTATATACAATATGATGTATGGATGTTTTCTGAAGAGAAACCCTTAACTTACTGTGGGACCAACATACAACACAAATTCTGGGTTCTCTTTTGGTTCATGTCTTTAAAAAGTTAGGGGTTAAAACAAGAGAAATTTGTTTATTAGGTATTTATCCATGCAAGGGTCCCATATTTGGTGAAATGCAATAGACGTTATGAACCAGGACAGTCATTTGATGGACTATTTGTGGTGTTAACCGCTCAAAACAAAAGAAATGATCATTTGGGGTGGTCGCAAATAGGGTTGTAATGCCTAATTCAGCAAAGGAGAAACGGAATAACCCTATAGAAAAATTGTAAACCAAAACACAATAGAAATGGTATTCCTAACCAAAATCTGAAAAGAAATTCAGAGATGGTAGGAACGTTGAAAAAGGCTAAAATGATTAAATATGATACAAAGATACACATATAAACATACCTACTGTGAAATATGAATGACTAATCTGCTCAAAGACACTCGATATCTGCATATATGCTGTGAGGAACCTAGGAGATAAAATCTTCAATGTAAATAGGGTAAAACTGATATAGAAAAGCGTAGTCAGCAAGTAATATAAAGTATAGAGAAGCCGATAAAAAAGCCTCACCATACTAAAAAAAAACAAAATCACTACAGATTGACTAAATTAGGATTGCTACAGAGCAGATAAGAAAGTGAGTGGCAGAAAAAAAAAATAAGGTATATGTAACGGATCGCCTGGCACCCCGACTGGGTACCTCCGTTGAAGGATGCTCCTAGCACTTCCTGAGGACTCCAAGCACTGCAGCAGACACCAAAACCACTGAACCGTAGGAGCATATGAATTCTCCCAAGCATATGAATGCTGTAGACAGTTGAATAGGAACCATACGAATAGGTTTACTCTCCTAGCAGTCAAACTGGAACAGCATACAATAAATCCTTCCCCCAATAATGAGACGACACTTCACTTTGAGGGTTAAAACAGGAACTCCCTGTACTGTCACATACAGTCTCTTTTATTCCCAATCCACAAACATAGTACAGCCCATAGGGCGTTACAAAACAGCCAATCAATCCGTACAATACACCCAGACACTCCCACACAAAATCCTCCCCTCTGCAGGTGATATGATTACTGAACACAATGGGTAATCTCATTATCACCGGCAGAGGAATACAGTTTTTACACAATACTTATAACTTCTAAAATATACATGTCACAAACATAAAACATACATTTTCATAATCAATCCATTCAGGGGAACAACATATTAAAAAATGGCACGAATCAGACCAGGGGTTCAAAAGTTAAGGGAAAGTCCTTTGTGACTAAATGAAGCATGGCTTTCTGGCCCAAAACCAGTTTCAGAGTCTTCTATCCTGGAGAGTAATTCAATTATCTCCCAGGACAGACACAAGACTCCATTAAGCACATGGTTGCAAAAAGACACAAAACACTTTAAAAATACATAAAGTCACATTTATTACATAAAACACAGACATGTAACATATCCCCAGATAGCTCAGGTCCGAGCGCACATTATTAAGCGAATGGCGCTCAGACCACACGAATAAACACTTTCTGCAGGGAAATAAACAGTTTAGCCTGCAGGGCCATGAATCAAAGGAGCAGAAGCTGACAACCAGGCTTCTCCAGTTCACAGTGGCGGGTTAGTTTGCATACCTTCTCTACCAACTAGACTAACAGGGTATCCTGACCTCCTGCGGTCAGTGCCTGGATTGAATCCAACAACCACCCACAAAACAGAAACAGCAGTACAGCCCACCCACAATAACTGGTTACTACACTGGGTGGGGAGAACTTTGTCCATGTCTGGTGCCTCACCACCACGACTGTGGGCAACTGTTAGGCTGCCTTGGTGGGTTGCTGAGTGGGCAGTGCTACCACGGAAGTAGCCTGGTGGGAGCCTGGTTGTGGGAGGGAGAGACCGACTGTCTCCCCTCTGGATACACCGCTCTGTGGCTGGGGAACAGGACCGACTGTCCCTACCCCTTGTGCTGTAAGTGCAGAGACTACGGTCCCATTTGCACTGTTGGGGGGTGTAACATCTCCCCTTGCTGGGTTAGGCTGCCGCTGGAGAGAGGGTGTAACAAGCTCCTCTCTCTGAACTGTAAACTGCCGCTGGGGAGAAGGGGTATCAGGCTCCTCTCCCTGACACTCTCTCTGCTGGTGGAGAGGGGGACCAGCTGTCTCCATTTTCATTATTTTGTCCTGTGGTTGGGGTGCGAGACTGACGGTCTCTGCTCCCTGCAGGACACTCTGCCGCTGGGGAGGAAGGACGGCACCTTCAGCTCCCTGGGGTACACACTGCCGTTGGGGAGGAAGGACTGCACCTTCAGCTCCCTGGGGTACACACTGCCGCTGGGGAGGAAGGACTGCACCTTCAGCTCCCTGGGATACACACTGCCGCTGGGGAGGAAGGACTGCACCTTCTGCTCCCTGGGACACACACTGCCGCTGGGGAGGATGGACGGCTGATACCTTTGGCTGGATCAGCCATGAACTCCAGGTACTCGTCTACCTGGCTCCTTACGAACTGCACGTATTTCTCCGGGGGGTTGGGTCCAAAGAAAGCCAGCCGCATGGTAAACTCTCTGTCATACTGCTCCTGAGTGTAGCTGGGTGCCATGCTTGCGCTGCTGAAGTTAGTTCTTTTGTAGATAGGGTCGCTGTACGGGTACTGGCGTTGCCCTCACTTTGTAAATCCACGAACTGTGTCTCCGAGCTGCTTTACCTCGCACTAGGACGCCATCCCACCGCTTGCCACCAATGTAACGGATCGCCTGGCACCCCGCTGGGTACCTCCGTTGAAGGATGCTCCTGAGGACTCCAAGCACTGCAGCCGACACCACAATCACCGAACCAGAGAAGCGTATGACCTTCTCTCAAGCATATGAATGCTGTAGACAGTTGAATAGGAACCATACGAATAGGTTTACTCTCCTAGCAGTCAAACTGGAACAGCATACAATAAATCCTTCCCCCAATAATGAGACGACACTTCACTTTGAGGGTTAAAACAGGAACTCCCTGTACTGTCACATACAGTCTCTTTTATTCCCAATCCACAAACATAGTACAGCCCACAGGGTGTTACAAAACAACCAATCACATCACAGTTACATCCCACATATTCCCTCCCCTTATCCTGAGAGGAAACTCAATTATATATACAGTTAAAACATACTTTCTACCCAACTTTCATAACTCCAAAACCATACATCACATTCACATAAAATTACATATTCACAATCAATCCATTCAGGGGAACAACATATTCAAAAAATGGCACAAATCAGACAAGGGGTTCAAAAGTTAGTAAAAAGTCCTTTGTGACTAAATGAAGCATGGCTTTCTGGCCCAAACCAGTTTCAGAGTCTTCTATCCTGGAGATAAGTAATTCAATTATCTCCCAGGATAGACACAAGACTCCATTAAGCACATGGTTGCAAAAAGACACAAAACACTTTAAAATACATAAAGTCACCTTTACACATAACACACAGACATTTCACATATCCCCAGATAGCTGGGATCTGAGTGCACATTATTAGATGAATGGCACTCAGATCACACAAATAAGCCTTTCTGCAGGGGAAATAAACGGTTTAACCTGCAGGGCCATAGGCCAAAGGGAGCAGGCGAGCAACCAGGCTTCTCCAGTTCACAGTGGCGAGGTTGGTTTCGCCACAGTACATATAAACTGTCGACAAAACACACACACACACACACACACATATATATATATAAAAAAAAAAGACTAGTAGATAAAACAGTCCCAAATAAGAGTAGCAATAATACCAGGTATTGCAGACTGGGGGTCCAAAGATGTTGATATCACTCTCTTGCTGGCCAGGTAGAAGTGAATTAAGACCTCCTTGTGCTGGAATGACACTGGATTCTAGCTGCGTGCATTCCATTGCGGCTCTGGATGCGTTCCAGTATGCTTGCTCTCAGGAGCCGATGTGAACCGATGTGAAGATGCCGCCTAACGCGTATCGTGATCACAGATCACTTCATTTTTATTTATTTATTGACCGTATGTGCCTTGTGTGACGGCATTCCGGGTATGAGAAGGGGTTACCGCCAAGGTTGTTCTTTTCCCTGAATATGAAGTCAGCTACCGAATACTCCTAAGCGCCGAACAGGAATCTTAACGAAATATCCCCCCAAGCATGAGACGAGGCTCTGTGTTGTGGGGATATTTATGGGATGTATAATATTGTACAGTTGAGAATTGCCCACTATTTCATTTCTCTTAGATCTTAGCGATGGTTATCATGTAAGTGAAATGTATTCCATACAAATAAAATCACAATTTGTTATAAAAATAGATATCATTTATTGTGACAAATAAAATAATAATAATATTAGGCAGCATGCATGATAATAATTAGTGAATATTTAGTATAACGTCGTATACAATGGCAATATTAAAACAATCCAATAGCTAACAGCATCAACTGTCAAGACTTACAAGAGGGTACTTCACGGACACAGAAAGCTAAACTTCCATCAAAAAGCC